TATATAAATACATTATAATAGTATACTTTATATTTAAAATACAAATATTTACAAGGACAAATTTTATAATATTATAATTATTTTAAAATTCATAATGAGTACTAAACATGTCATAACTGWAATGTGTCATACTAGAGAAATGACTTATCAAAAGTAATTTACATTACATTTGTTTTGTTACTATCCATTGGAAAGAATATTTTAATGGATGTTTAGAGTATCAAAATATCTTATTCTCAAAATKTTTAGTGCATAAAAAGTGGTATTTTCAAGCACAAACAATCWCAAATTTATCAATAATGCATTTTTWAAAAKAATGATAATTTATAWCAATTACCTATGATTATACTCTTATAATAATAATAACAAATCATTACTTAAAGTAATACAATGTGTATTAGATACAGAAATAATATAATTTATAAAAATATATTATAAAATTATTTAAATGCAATTCAAAAAGTACAATAAATTATACCTTTTTATATCCACAAAAAAGGTAAATTTCATACTTCTAGTATGACAATTGTTTGTGAATAACAATTATTTTTCAGTAATCTTTAATACTTAAAATAAATTAAAAAAATTATTTATATTACTTAGAACGGCTATGAAGTCGAGGACGATTGTGCTCTCTTTTAAGAGGCATAACTAAATTATTTTCAGGTGATGGACTTCTTTGTGCTAGTAAATTGGCTGCAGCCAATGTTTCGGCTACTTGAATACGTCGTTCTTCAGCTGCTCAAAATAATATCAAAAATTAATATTCAGTTAACAATTAAAATAAAATATTCACCGTCAAGCATAAATGATCTGGTTTTCTTTATAGCTCCCTTAACTGACATCTTTCTTTTAATTTTCGTGTTTTTGTTAGGCATACGGGTTAGTAAAGTAGACTGATTTGTAAAACTTTTGACAATATGGTCATTTAAATACTGTTCTACCTCTGTATTAAGCTCTAAAATGTACAATTTTGATAAATAAAAATTAATTGAAAATTTAAGATAAACTTACTATATGGCATTCCAATTTCTTGACTACCTAAGAAACTAAGATTTGTAACACACGAAGTACTAAGAAAGCCATTAAGATTCCCTAATGTAACTCTAGAAAAAAAAATACAATATACATTATTTGAGTTCTTAGAACATTAAATATAAYATATTACCTAGTTCCATTAATATAACCACTCTTCAATTTTTTAATTGTTGTTATAACAGCTAATGGAATTTTACCTTGATCTATAAACAGTATTTAAACTTGAGAATAAAATAGATAGTTTAATTAATTAATTTTTCATAGTTTAAAATAAATTAACTGTTACAGCAGTTATTTGATTAAGAACTTAAAAATATAGCCATGCGACAAAAACAACACAAAGCTTAAACAAACTAATATGCATATTATTTCATACTATGCAACTTAATAATTGATATTAAATAAGTAAATCTGTTTAAAATTATTTTTTACACCATTAATATTGATAGTTTTGAATATCTTATATAGTTATATATTCACCTTACCTACAAAATTTGAAGAAGCAATTATAGTGTATGTTGGACGACCTAACATGTGCTTCCAACTCATTGTCAAAAATGCTAGATCCATCATAATATTGTTAAATAACAATTCAATATCATTTCCCATATAATATTGGTCCAAATCAAGTGTCTACTAGAAAATAATACCTAATAGCACTAATTCATTCACTAAGAACTACATAGTAAATATATAAAAACAAAATAAAAGCATAACTGCCCTACACATTTTAGTTATTTTGTGGTGTATTTAGAAAAAAAACCAAAAATTTATTTTTATTTATCAATTATGTTAAA